ATCACTTGTGCCGACCCAGATTTCCCCTAGGTCTGAGGCCGGTAACACAACCACAAACACAAAGTTGCTAAATCAAACCAGATTGCTGACACACAGCTTGTCCCATGACTTTGACATCACATGTTGACAAAGGAGTGCATGTTTGGGCTTTTACTTTCCCGAACTAACGGTGCAACATTTTAGCAGACCTGATGTTGATAAAACTGCTGGTCCTGCCGACGACACGGACTACATTAGAGCTCCTTTGTGTCACCCTGGATCACTCAACTTGCTCAATTAGACATATAAAAAAAAATTCATCCAGGACAAAAGTCAGACCACAGCCACATTCTGCTAAAAAAAAAAGTGATAAGTATAAACACAATACATTGTGCATCCTTTCTGGAGCAAAAATGGACCTCTAAACATAAACTGCTCACGATCCAAAGTGATGTGGGTTATGACCCTGGACTCATAAAGTGTTTGGACTTAGTATGCTTCTTTAGTTGTTCCTACCTGTGTGCTACTGAGACCTAAGTAAAATATTCCCATTCTGATTCTTTCAGATTCCTTCAGTATGATGAAAAGAAGTAATGTGTATGTAAATTAACTTCTTCAATGGTGAACTAATTGGTCTTTAGTTAATCTATTTTTACTGTTTGGGTGTCAAAAAGGCTGTCCACACAGCCTTCAACTGTGAGCTTTTAATGTAATGTGTTAATGTTGTGCATTCAGAACTTCCACACACAAAAATGTCATGTACTCTCCAGCTTCCCTTTATTGTCATGGGTTAGTTAACTCAATTTCAGTGATGTTGGCAACTCTTGAAAAGGAAGAAGTACTCTTATCTCCAACCCTAATGGCAGTTACAAAGCTCTCCCACTTCTGTATTTTGGTCTGCCAGTCGTTTTCCTGCCATTCAAACACAACTTACCGTCAGCTGATACAAAAGCTTGTGACTCGTGTAGTGATATGAAAAAAAAATTTTTGGGATCCAAGGCAAACAACGCAAAACTAAACTGGACTGATAATATAGACCATTCTTTCTCCACCAAAGTTAAACAAAAGAGATGATAAAATATCAACCCGGCACAATGGCCAAGACATTATCCTTCAACTAAGACCTACAGAATAGCATAAATAAATATGAATAAAATGGCACAGGAAGTGAGAACAGACAAACTCACAGAGCAGAATGTGTTGGGCCAGTGGTGGGTGAGAATCAGCTTGGACCACATGTGTCTGAAACAGGCAAGACATTTTTAGTGACTAAGAGTTTATTTACAAGTCATGTAATAACACAAAAAGTTAAAATGACAGCACTGGGTGACTTCATGAGTTCTGCTGTAAACATCAAAGGATGGATAATAAAATGGAGTCAGTCTACCTTCATATTCATGTTTGTATGTTCATTTTTATTTGTGTACTTACGGAGCTGAAAGTACAACAGCAGAAGACAGGGCTGCTGCCAGACAGGCCAGAAGAAGAACGTTGAGCCTCATAGCTGATCAGAAAAAAGATTATAGGTTCCTCAATAAATCAAATATGTCAACCTTTTTCTAAAACACAAAGGTGAACATTATCAACCCCCGATCTGCAACAGCCATGTTAAAATCCATTCTGAACTTGGATCTCTGTATGGAATGTATGTACCATTGTAAAAAGTCACAGCTAGTAAAAATACCTCCAATAGATCATACAATAAAACCTTACAAAAGAGTTAAAGTCACACACAGTGACCAAAGGAGATGTCATGGCTTAAACTAGATGAAACAAGCAGTTCTAATGACATACACAAAAAAATAAGTTTTGAGAGGATTGTGTTGCTGGCAGACTACTGATGTCAGTTTCTTGGTAAATATTGGCCAACAGTGTTACTGAATACTTCTTAAAGGCCACAATGCTACATGTCATTGATGCCACTTTTTTGAAATTAAAAGTGAGAGTGAAATTAAATTTTGCAGATCCCAGAGACAAACAATTAACGAATAAATACATTACTGGTGCTTTGTGAATAAGTTAGCATTGAGGCTCGTTACATCTGGATATACAGATTCAAATATGCGTAATATATGTGTAATATATATGTAATGATACAGAGCATGCTGTGTCAAATCTGCACAACCATTTGTTGTGCTGGATTAAAAATAGAAGATTCTTAAAAGTGCAACAATGCTATGGAAGAAAAGGCTGTGGAAAAAAAAAAGCGCCCAAAAAAACCCATTGTTATCTGCGCACTAGAAGCTCACAGATGGCAACGTGTAAACTTAATTTTCAAGGTAATGCAACATTAAACAGAAAGCAATAACTTCAGCCACAGGTGAGACTGGGTTTTGCGCCGACGTTAAATATATGGCTGGACAAATACAAGACACATTAGTCCCACATCAAATTTAAGAGCACGTAAAAATGAAAACATTAAATGTTAACTCACCTTGTCTCCAGAATAGAACAACAAAGACGTAGTGGTGAAATGGGCGCTGAACTGTTCGTTGGGCCGACAACTAGGTTAACTTGTTCAGGGCAGTCTTAAACAAGGCACGGCTTGTTGTTGTCTATGTACTTTACTACCTGCCTATTAGCTCAGCCAATTGTGGGTTACGCAAGGAACTACGTAATCACGCTGTGTGGTTGGGGTTGTTTGATTTCCTGTTTGCACTCTTCCGGATGCTCCGAAGCTTTTTGTAGCTTTACGACGATATTTACACTAAGATATAATTCCTGGCTCACTAATAATGCTATTTGTTCTTGAGATTGAGCAAAACGCAGGAAATCACATATTCGCATAAGCGTACAACCTAACTTTGCTGCAATTTATCAGAAAGGCAATGACATACTACTATTAAGAGCCTAATACATAAAAAAAACTTTACTTGATATTGAATAAATGAAGTCAGACATGAATAAGACACGATGCCTAATAACCATGCTGAAATGAGTAGTAGCAGACAATGAGCTTGTTTTAAAATTAATTCTGTGTCTGGCTATCATTTGGCCAACAGAGGGCACTTTTTCACAAGCTGAACTCATCTTTGTTTTGACAGACTTGCATTGGGGATGTTTCCTGTCCAGTTCAGCTTTTGTTGTAAAAAGCTACTTTTTCATTTTAGTGAAATAAAATGTCACACCCTGTTATCTACTGTTCAAGTAGGCCAACTTGATGATTCAAGCAGAAACTTAATATAAAGTTAATTTAAAGTAATGGTTTCTTATTTAGGAAACTATTACTTTAAAGGTTTGATGCCACAGGTGAAAGTATTAGGCTTTTATTCTTAATCCTAAAAATTTTTAGGCTTTAAAGATGCTGCCCTCAAAACTTAAACGGACAAACAGAGAGAAACATTTCATTTGTCCCGACACTCTTTTTTTATCTTGCCTTCTTTCACACACTTGCATCTGTCTACGTCACTCACACATCACACATTCCTTCCCAAGGACCCGCGCTGCAAAATCTAAACACATGTTGTTCACTCACATGATTTCGTTTCAGATGTGAAATGTGTTCCACAGTTTGTCGACTGTGTCAGGAATAGTCTTGCTGTAACTGTAGCTAGTTTTATAAATAGGCTATGGCCAAAGTTCAGCATGCAGCACAGTGTCTCAAGATGCTTCTTAATGTAGATGGAGAAAATCTTAGATTGGGTCTTCAGTACTGTCCAGTGAAGCCAGATTTAAATGGAAGTGAAACATTTGTCTGCTCAAGACATCACATATTTTTAAAGCGCAGAACCTTAATAAAAATGTTATCCCAATTCCATGCATCATATAGATAATATGTGTAATTATTTGACAATTATAATGTGTTGAGGAATAAACCAAAATGACCGGCTAACTGTTTAAACACTACTTGGGAAAGCTCGGACTGCTGCTATTGGCACAGGAGGCATACATTCTGCTAGTTACAGTATGGTATTCACCTCAGTTACATCATTGGTCAAATTTTTTTTTTGCATTACCTTGACAATCAGGTAATCTACTGTATTGGTGTGTGTGTGTGTGTGTTAACTGCACATCAAAATGCAATGAATTGCAATGCCTCTGTTTGAAAATTATATGAATAAACTGTCCATCAAATAGTTCACGAATCGTAGTGGCCATGAGTCTTGAAGGATACTGGTTATATATAGGCAGTTCCCTGTCCTTATAAGGCCTCAAGGAGAAGCAGGTGGGGGACGACTGGAGACGGGTGGTGGTTTTGTTGGCCTGGTACAGTACTTGGTTTAGGCTGACTCCCTGTGGAATCAGGCTGACAACCGAAGTTGCTGAAAAGAAAATCTCAAGGGGTAAGAAAATTAACTTAAAAATGTCATTTCTGCTCCTTTGTTTCCTCTGCTTAAGATGCGTTTTAATCCTTATGTGAAAGATATGTTTCGCTGGTGGGATCAGTGGGATGGGGGTAAATCGAGCCAAGGGATGTTTCATGATCCTAAGCTGCTGCTCATGACTCTTAAAAGTGATGAATGATAGAATACAGCAGTTCTGAATGTTGAGTGGTAATTTAAGTTGAATAAATGACCAAACATCTCAGAGTCATTTTTCATTCCGTTGGTCAAGCAGATATCGGTCAGATTCTTTGTTTAACACCGGTGATGTAAACAACAGGTATTCATAATGATAATACTACTCAGTTAAAATACACTCAAAGTGTCCCATTTGACAATGAGACTTGTTTTTTTTGTGGTAGACAGGTTTAGTCAGTTCATGATTTTTACATTTGCTGTGTTTTTTAAGTACAAAACAGCAGAAGGAGCAGCTTAGGCTGTCATTTGACCATAGGTTTTGGCTGTGACAGTACTTGGCTGTCCTGACAGAATAAGAAGCACAACTAAGAAAAGAAAATTAACTGGAGCACAGCCTTTTCAGGAGTCTGTTGCTACATTTTTGTTACTATTATCTTTATACTGAGTTTTACAAGTAAATATTGCTTACACATAAGGAAAAAGTTAACCTGAGGCACTATAATTGACATTGTTCATATTTTTGCCTTTTTATTTGTCACCTGTATTGATCAGGTATTTATGGGCTGCTGACCAATTCAGTTCAAATCATGAATTTGGAAATAATTTGGATCATATGTAATGGTCACCCTTAAACTCTCTACTGTTTGATCAAATGTGTAAATAGGATTAGATTTTAAATGTTGCTGTGGCTGACTTCCAGAGTTAGAGGTCAGATGTCAAGGGGTTAGAACAGGCCATAGTTTCATCTGTTCAGGTGGTTCTCTTTCTGACTGGCATATTTGGAGCAATGGATGTAAATCAAACTTGGCTTTGGTGATAGTTAAGGTGTCACTAAAGCTGGGAAGAGCATTTGAAAGATATGGAGAAAGGAATGTTCTGCAGAACATCTCGTTAGCCCTCTGGGTGAGTTGAGCCGAGGGAATCGCTTCGTGTTTCACCTGATTCTCGTTGCTGGTCTCTTAGGACTATGATGTAAAGAGATTATAGACCGCTGTGTGAATGATGTAAGGCAAAGTTATGCTGTTGTTTTGGTAGCCACACTTTAAGGCATTTTTCAGCAAGGCATTTAATAAATGAGAAAGAGAACAAAGTGTCATAAAATTGAGTGCTGTGGTAAGCTTATTACTATTTTGGTCTCATTTTATCATTTGAATTCTGCCATCCCATACTATAATGCACTGGCCAAATGTTCTTATAATCGCTCTTGTGGAACCCAGCTGTCTGGATTTGTGTGTCTGGGTTTCCCTTTTAAATCATTACACTGGGCACATTACAATGAATGGAGTCACACAATCTTTCCGTTTTAAACAGATACATTGTGTAAAATCATAGTGTTGCATGACTCATTAACTTAATGTTTTAATTATGTATCATTCATGTAATTCAGTAAAAGTTATTTTAAAACTATTTGTGTGCTGTCAAAATTGATGTGAGAATCTTTGGGTTAGCTGTACTGTCAGTTTGTATCGGTATGTGCAGCAATAGTCCATGACTATGCGTTTTGTTTATGTCCGGGTACATGTGTGTCTTTGTTGCTGGTATATTTAAATCATGGTGTCACCTTCCTTGCCAGCAATAAAGCTCCCATTTGTTGTGTTCGTGAGAGTTGGAATGTCTGAATGTCTTGTCAGCTCCATGCTTTGAAATTCCAAGAGGGCCCACCTTTGTGTAAAAAGGTGAATCAGTAATTTCATCAGTATGTAAATATATGAATATATATTGTTTTGTGAATTTTACAGTTTGTGAAGAAAGTGACATTATTGGATTTTACAGTCTAAAGTAAAAGGTAAAACATGGCAGAAATTCGAGCCAAAGGACTTTATGGATGATAATAGACTCACAGTTCCATCCGTTTGTCCATCCATCTATTTTCCAAACTCTGTTATTCCAATTCAGGTTCACAAAGGGTCTGGAGCCCTATGACAGCTTTCACTGAGTGAGGAGAAGGGTGAACACTGGACAGGTCACCAGCCATAAAGACCAAAACTTTATGCAAATATATTTATTTCTACTGGTATATTGAGCAATTCATCATAGCCACCTGTTTGAATTTAGAATGGTGTATCAATTGACCTGCTTAATAAACCAGTAATAAAGCCAGTGGCCCATCAAGAAAAATAAATAAAAACATTTTTAGTTTTTCTAAAATCATCCTCTTGGATCGGGAGCTGGTGTGTGTCTCTGTATTGGTTTATTTAAGACTTGTGTCAATCTAGTGTACTGTGTTATCACGTCTGTCTGTGTGTCTTTTTGTTGTCGTCTTGTCCCACAGGTCAGTGACTAAAGAGTCACCATGTCGTCAAGGATCAAACGTGGAAATTACAACCAAGATTATCACCACAAACAGAGCAGATATGTGGTTAAAGAATACAGCAGGTACAAGAGACCAGTGCTATTAATCAAGGCATTAATCTTCTGCAACACTTTTATAGTTGTATTATTACTACTAATATTATGTCTTTGTAGAAATACTAAGCTTACCTTGCTTATTGTAGATATGCTTACATGGCTATATTATCTCTTATCCTTGCATATGAACAAACTGGTAGCTTGAAGCTATTTTTTCTTAACATACACTATATTGCCAAAAGTATTTGCCCACCCACGCAGACTATTACCATAACCTCCTGAGACCCGAGCTTTTATTTGGCATGCATTTTAGCTTTTTTTTTAAAGATATATGAGATACATATTTAATTAAATGTTTTTACAATTTTGTTCTGACAGTCCCATTGACTCATTTACAGTTTTTCTATTACACAATAAGAACATGATTGGATGGAAATGTATAAAACCATTTTACTTTAGATTTCAAACAGTGTCTGATAGCATCTGCTATGAGGTCAAGAGGTCAAAGCTGAAAGAAAAAAAGAAGTATCATGGTCCTCTTATGAGGACACAGGGTCTCAGGAGGATAAAAAATTGTGAAAGAATGGGTTGCTCTCAGGAGCTCAGTAAATTCCAGTGTGCTGCTGTGATAGGATGCCACGTGTGCAATAAATCCAGTTGTGAATTTTTCTCGATATATTCCACATAAGCGTAAAAGTGTAAAGCAGTTGCAGCAACTCAGCCACAAAGTGGCAGGCAACGTCCACTGATGGAGCGGGGGCATAAGATATGGGCAGATGTTGCTAATTTCTGCAGTGCATGTGTAAAATGACTTGGCTCTTGAGTCAAGTCTGTTACATCTGCAAAGCTTAGAGATTAAGAATGGAATATCTCTTAGATTTCTATGCGTGTCAGTGTAGGTGAGCGAAACCCTTTGGCAATGTGGTGTATCTTCAAGCTAACAAAGTAGTTCAGAGCTAGCAAGTTCAGAAAATAACTTTTCTTCTTTATTGTTCAAACATTGTCCCAGCAAGATTTTAAATTGGTAAAATTGGACTTGCTTGGCCATATGATTTTTATTTAAAGTTATGTGGTTTTTGATGACAACAGTTAAGGTTGAGATAAAAAATTAAATGAAAAGCATCATATGCATACTAATATAGTCTAAAATTGAGTTGTGTTTGTATGTCTGTTCATGGGTGTTTGTGTACCTGCTGATGCAGCTAACCCATATGAGTAAGGTCTTTTTGATGCAAAGTTTTAAATGACAAATGCTGGCTTGATTTTTAAAATGTAGTACTTATGCTTTAGTACAGTGTGTTCATGTGTCCTCAATGCTGTATGACTGACTTCCAGAATGCATAAGGTATAAACATAATAAAAATAACAATTACTGTCACCTTTTCATTGCCAAAGAAAGGTCTTTTTTTTGCTTTAAGAATACACTGGACTATAATTTGACCTACTTCTGCTCCTGGTTTCACCTCTTTTTCTGCAGACTATGTAAACAGTTATTATTTTCCAACACCTCCTCAAGCTGCAACGCAAAGTCTGCAAGTTTTTGGTCAAGGACTGTCTTTTCTTCTTTTCCTATCATGCATAAATCTCTGTCAACAAGGGGGAGAGAGAGAGTTGACTGGAGACCTCTGGTGGCAGTGGAGGTGTTTGCTCCTGCTTGAAAAACAATAAAGAGACAATAATTATGACACTTAGTGCCTGGCCCTACTGAGCATCAATTGTCTGCACTTTCAGCATCTAAGTCTTCTTGATATTAGAGTTGACCCAGTGCATATCATATCCATGCAATCCAATGGTGGTAAAGCATGCATGGGAGTGTTGTAATTCATTACTGTTTTTAAACATTTTTAAACCAAACATTTGGCTTCTAAACTTGCCACAACCTCACTTTAGTAATCTTCAAAAAAGATTACTAAAAAAGCTGTCGTTGTAACAAGTTGTAACAATAAGCATTAGTGAATTAGTATTAGATCAGTGTTAACTTTGCTGACATAAACTAATGTCAGGATGTTTTGCTCAGTAGATGTCAGTAGGACATTATATATCACCAGAGTCCTCTATCACTATGACTCAAGGGTCTATCATTTTGAAAAAACTTCAAGCACTATTGACAGTCCACATGTAAAATTAGAGGAAAAGAGAAAAAAAATGCATTCAAGGTAAGGGCTTTAAAGTGGGAGAGCTTTTTCCCTGATCTTTTCTTTTCTTTCACAGAGCTGCTTTCAATGGGAACCATGCAGTCTGAAATCATTAATCTGACTTGTGAATAAGCTGTTGCTAGGGAACCAGTTGTACTTTACTTTTTTCATTTCTAAGTAGAACTTACATACTGTTTGTCTTTAGTTCTGAGGCTATGGAGGAAAGATATGAGCACAAAACACAGGCTCGCATCCAGGAAGTGGTAAGAATATATGAAGCCTTTTAATCCAAACTTACTTATTAACACTGGGTGAAAACTGCTGTCATAACCCGCTCTTAACCTCAAGTAGTCGCAATAACAGATCAGGCACCTTTTAGTCATGATAAGGAGCTTCTATTAGAATCTATGCATTGTGATCTGGTATAATGTTCTAATAAGGTTTGAAACAACTAAGAAAAATGCACAATAAAAGATTAATATCATTCAATGTTGAATATTTTTTGTCAACCTCTTTGTCTGTTTAGGTTAGATCAAAGATGGTGGAAAAATATGTGCGTGAGGAGCCCATGATCAGGGGACCACAGTTCGTGGTCAGACTCAGATCCCACACTGTATTTGAAAACAGTCCAATCAAACTCTTCTGTACTGTTGATGGCTTCCCCATGCCGATTGTGAAATGGTAAATCACATGTTCATCTTTTTCATTATATCCTACTTATCACAAACATATGAATATTACTCTTTAATATATATTGATTTCACATTGTTGTTTTTTTAGCATAAATCATAAATGTAGATGTATGTTGTGTTTCAAATATTTATCTGTTTGTCTATTGTTGTTATGCAAGATACAGTGTGGGTGAGCAGAATATTTCCTTCTCTGTAGGTATAAAGATGGAGTGGTCCTGAACTTATCCTCGGGAAGGTACTTGGTTGAAGCCAAAGGTGGAAGTTATTCTCTGGAGATCCCAAGGTACAGCAAGTTTTAAAAGAGGGTCACTGTGTTTTTGACCATACAGTCAAAGGAAAGTTTTATTCCCAATGAAAACTATATAAAATATAGTCTAATTCATTAGAAGCATTTTGTAGCAGTATGACATGCACTCTTTGAATACCATACTGAAAACTACCAGCCAAAGTTCAGTAGAAAAACCTCCAAATGGAAATTTAATGAGAACTCCCTCACAAAATGGAATAAGCTTGACAGAATAGCTTCTGAAAAACAGCTGACTGTGTGGCCACAGCCTGTGTGGTTAGAGTGCACATCCTCTTCTCACTCTGGTCTTTGAAAGCTCAGCTGTTCAAGTGCTGTCATCAGCGCCATGTGATACTTCAGTATTTTGACAGTCATCACTCTTTGAAAGGATCCCATCACCCTCATTGGTCATTTAAAACTAAGAAGACAGTTCTTTCCTCTAAGAATGATTATTACAATGCCATCAGGAAAGGTTTAGAGTAGTATCTACGTTTTGAAAACAGAGTCAGAACAAACAAGATAAACCACGTAACATGTTTTTTTCCCCCCTTAGTCGTAAGTTTGTTGTTCTGGAATCAGAAAGATTGCCAGGAGTTGGTTCTGTTCAGAAGCTATTCCTTCCATAGACAACTGAACTGGACAATGTTTGTTCAGTTGTTTGTGCAAATGAAACTGTGCTCAGATAATGTTGTGGTTGCTCTGTTGCAGATTTTCCATGGCAGCATTATGGACACAACTGGGCAGTGATTTCTTAATTCATGCAGTGAAAACTTGTATAAAAACATTTGCACAAACTTTATTTCTGTGCTACACAAACAAGAACATATTGCCCTGGTTCAATATCTATACATTATTTCTCTTTTTTTATCTCACCTCACTTGAGACATTTTTTTCATGAACTACCCATGAGAATCCTGAGTGGCATGCTTATCCCCTTTGCTAACCTGTGCTCTTATTGTCTTTTGAAGATGTACAACTGATGACACAGCTCAATACACTGCTATGGCTGGTAACATCCATGGGCAGGCCTCCTGTCAAGCTTCCATTATCGTAAAGCGTAAGTTATAGGAGGTCACATTGTTAAAGATGAACTTTCATGCAATAGTATTTAATTTTTAGGTCATGATTAGTTGATCACTCATATCTTGTGAAGAATATGACAACATATTCATCAGAGTATGTCAAACAGATTGAATGAAACCAACAGAAGTGCACTGCCACCTATTATAATTATACTTTTTGAATGGCCTTGGTGGGAATACAACAATCTCCCACCATGCTTAACTGAAGTACTTGGATATATACTTTTCATCACCACAGTGTGTTGTATTTGTCTCTCTGAGTGATCACTATCTCAATCCCCATTAAATTTGTTTCCTCTTTTAGGTTTCAAAGAGGAGGAGGCGTCCAGTCCATATGCATGGTTGCCGTTTACAGGTAGATGTCAAACCTTTTTCTTTTTCCATATGAAAGGATAAAATCAAGGTCTCCTTTCTCTTGACCATGAAGTGACAAGCTTGATTTGTAAACTCTATCCCATTTCTACTTCTCTGTCCCAGCTGCCATGCTTCCCAAGATCCATTACACTAAAATCGACATTACCTTTGTGGAGAAGTTTGGTCCAGTGTTTGCCACTGAGGGAGAATCTGCAGTTTTGTCAGCCACCATGACCCTGACCCCCAACCTAGCCAACTTACAGCCTGAGGCCCAGTGGTACAGAGACGGTAACTGTCATAGTGCATTTAAAAGTCACTACTCCAAAGTAACTACTCTATGTTTTCTTTAAATCTGTAATGACTCCCTGTCCAAGAGTAGTTGACATACAATTAGAGGTACAATAGTGGAAAATGAGAAATGACCACAAATACTTTTCTTCATCAACTCTGCCAAAACTGTTTATACACACTCTACTCACACATCTATGATTATCAACTGTAAGTTTCACATAGGATTAAGATATATGCTTGATGTATAATAGATAGAAATATGTTTAGTCCAAAAAGAATATTCATATAAATGCTCCCATGTGTGATTTGATTTCATGTGTAGATACCCGTCTGTTTGAATCAAAATGGGTGAAGATTGAAACTGGCAGAGGATTCACCAAACTGAGTCTTCCAAATCTCTATAAAGATGATGAGGGCCTTTACACTCTGCGCATGGTCACAAAAGGAGGCACTGCAGAACACAGTGCATTTGTTTCAGTTGAAGGTAAGATGAATGGTCAAACAATCCAGGAGGAGGTAAAGAGATGAGAACCAGACATATATAAAACAGAAACTAGTGACTTCAATTTGAATTTGTGTCTTTGGAGTCAATCGCTGACTTGATGCTAACAAAATATATGGCCATCTGAACTTTTTTTTCTTTTAACTAAACAATTTAATTAACAATGCTTTCTGTGTAGATGGGCCTCCCCCAGTTCCTGCTTCACCTGGTGCTCCTATGGACATCAAGATCCACGATGCCAACAGAGACTATGTCATTGTATCTTGGAAGCCTCCTAATACCACTACAGAGGGTCCAATCTTGGGATACTTTGTGGACAAGTAGGACTTTCTGATATAAACATCATAGACAGATAAAATGAGCAACATAAAGACAAACTAATAACTGTGAGTCACCACATTGAGTTTTTTCCTAAATTATTGTAGAAATCATTCTCCGGTTTTAATCTCACACTCATTTTTAAAAACATACTAACTAAACAGTAATAGTAGTATCAATAGGGAAACTACATACTTTGCTATATCCTGTGAGTTTATTTTTCTAGGAAATGTAAGCCATATCTTTTTTAATTGAATTTTTAAGTTTGATATTTAATGCGATTTTTAAAAATATCAAAACTAAGTAATCTTACCAACTAGTCCTAAAAACGTAGTGCTGCCTCCACTTAATGCTTCAAGTGTAGCCAGTACATGCTACTATCGTATTTTCATTAATTGACTGATATAATTTGCCAGCACAGTTGTCAAGTCCTTGATAGTGTGAAACACATCTTCTAAAGCTCAAATATGCACTACTTCCATCCTCTACTTCATCCTATAGATATTGTCTATCATCCTATAGATAGACAATATTCTTTTCACTAGTAAATGATCCATTAAATCTTCTCATATTTTGATGACTATCACCATTTTTTTAACCAAACCTGAATATTCAGAAAATTCTTTAAATTGTTTTTAATATCCTAAATCTATTTATTTTGAATTTAGATGTGAGGTTGGAACTGAAAACTGGACCCAATGCAATGATCACCCCATAAAGATCTGCAAGTACCCAGTGTCTGGACTGTTTGAAGGACACTCCTATCACTTCAGAGTCAGAGCTGTCAACTCCCACGGAATCAGCAAACCATCCCGCATGTCTGATCCTATTGCTGCTCTGGACCCTACTGAGTTTGAGAGGCTCCATGGTGGGTTTAATTCCTTGGCTGTAAATGACACTAATCCCTAATCCCACAGTCATAAGTGCGTCATGCTGATATTGTTGCTGCTGGTTTTCTGTTTGGATGGAGCTGCTCCATGACAGACGCAAGGATTCAGATTTAAACTGATTGCGTGTAAATGCAGTCCTCTCCTTATGTATGTTAGAGGAAGAATTAAGGAGAGGACGATTAAACTCAGTTGGTACTGTTCTCTTGATGTGTACTCTGCAGCAGGGACAAAATCACCTAATGCCACCAGACAACCATTTTTCTTTTTAAAATGCAGTGTTTATCAGTTTTCCCAAACTGATTCAAAACCCTTTAAGTCACTCCACAAACATAATTTAAACCAACCACGGTTTAAAACCAAATGAATGTGTTTTCAGTAATTATGTCAGTGCCAAATTATTTTGATACCAGTGTTATTAATTTTGTTTCTAAAATGAGTCAAGCTGATTTCAAATGATGTCTTGTTGAAGGGGTAATGAAGAAATAATAAGCTGTACAATAAACAAAGCAATGATGAACAGTTGGAAAATTATATCTTATTTTACATGACCAGTCTCTATTCAAAATTCTCTACAGGTTATATGTATGTAACATTTACTAGTTGCTGATGAGTGTGATTAATCTAGCCAAACTGGCATGTGAAGTCCATGAATTGATGTCAGGATTACCCTCCAGCATTAATCAAAATCTTCTTACAGCCAAAAAGCTTGGAGGAAGACTGGATGTTGTATCTTATCACGATGAAGCTGAAGGTGGGATGTTAATTAGCTTTTTTAACAAAAATGCCATTTTTAGTGTGTATTATATTTTCAGTGACATCATTCTGCACTTTCTTCTGTTTAAGCAGAAGAAGGACAGGCCCCAGGTGCTCCATCAGGAATTTCTGCATCAGAAACAGACAGGACATATGTTGTTCTGAGCTGGAAAGCCCCTGTGTATTCAAGCAAAGCTCCTATGTGGTACTACATTGAAAAGGTAGCAAACACTTTTGTCCTTTGACCAGTTACTTCATGACTATTAAGTACAGTACTTCTTATTTACACTTTGTATCATTGCATCATGGTTACATAAGAGAATGACAGATGCTTGCTGAGTTATTATGTTATTATAATCATTCAACTCCATGAAATGTTATCTTATGGGTTTCTGTTTCTCCATAGGCCATGGCAGACACTAATGCGTGGCAGCGTGTTAACACTCAGGTTCCTATTCGATCTCCTCGTTATGCTGTGTTTGACCTGGCAGAGGGTAAACAATATAAGTTCAGAGTATTGTCTGCAAATATGTATGGAACCAGTGAGCCATCAGAGCCAACTGGACCTGTTCAGACACAGGAACTGAGAGGTCTGTCTCAGCTGCTTTTCCCCTTATGTATAGTATTTATTGTCGCTATATGATTTACGTCATTCTTATATGTCCTTTTTTGTTGCATCCTCAGGTGTGCCATCTGCTCCAGGTCAGGTGATTGCAACTCGGGAAACAAACACTTCTGTCCTTATCCAGTGGGCTCCTCCAAAGGAACCCAACAATCTCATTGGTTATTATATTGACCAGTGTGTGAAGGGATCCAAAAACTGGACCTCAGCTAATCACAAACCACATAAGAAAACCAAGTGGGTTTAAAAAAAAATACGCACTCATGTTCAGAGACAGTATGGCAATGTTTTATTTGGTTTTACGTTAGAGGGTATGGAAGAGATTCTTACGATCTGTACACGTGATTATTTTTCTTCAGATTTGTGGTTAGCGGCTTGACCACAGGAGAAACCTACGTGTTCCGTGTCCAGGCTATCAATGAGCTGGGTCTCAGTGAGGAATCCCAAGAATCCTCACCTCTGACAGTCAGAGCTGCCCTTAGTCAGTACCGTCATATTTATGGGCAACATTAATGACTGGTGTGTTCTAAAACCACATTATTTGAGCTATCGTTTTTATTGGTCCTGCATTTCTAGGACCCCCATCTGCTCCTTATGATATTGCACTCCTGAACTGTGATGGTCATTCAATGGTTTTGAACTGGAAGAAGCCTCTTCACTCTGGAGGTTCAAAGGTCAAAGATTACTTTGTGGATAAAAGACGTAGTGGAGCCACAATGTGGAGAGAGGTTCATATTCCACCAGTGTCAGAGAGACTTTATAAGGTAAGGGATCCATTTATTGAATTGCCTCAGAAAAGCATTGTAACAGGAAATAATGATGTATGTAACCGTGATCATATATTACAAAAAGGTTGAAGGCTTAACCGAGGGAGCAATCTATCAGTTCCGTGTGTATGGAGCCAACCTGGCTGGCCTTGGACCAGCTTCCAAACAATCAGAGGACTTTTCATGTGAGCCTTGGAAAATGCCAGAGCCAGGTTAGTAAATAATGTCTTCTGACTCACCTGGTCACAGATACTGTAGTACTTTCAAACAATTATGAGGTCCTTTTTAAACTTTTACGATATGGTATCCTGTTTTTCCATGTGTCGTACAGGCCCCGCTTATGACCTGACATTTAGTGAAGTAAGAGATAATTCATTGGTGGTTGAGTGGCAAAAGCCTATCTATTGTGGTTCTGAGCCAGTCACGGGCTATCATGTAGAATATGCAAAGAAGGGAACTTCTGACTGGACTATGGCCAATAAGACAGCTGTCAGCCATCGCTTCCTTAAGGTAAGAATCATTCATTTATGATTCAGCTGCTTTACCATAGCATGTCATTTCTATAGTATATTATAATAATCATTACAACTACCATCACATTTGAGTCTGGTGCTAAATGTTCCTCTACTTATAATGCAGCACTGCAGTTGCTTCAAACTGTGTGATACTGACATCTAGTGGCTAAAATAATCAGTCACTGTCTGTCAGACAAAAGTCTGTGAAGGTGTGTGGACATCTTTCCTTTTCAAAGAAAACCTGTAGTTAAAGGACAACTTAGTCACATACGTGATTATGTTCCATCTTCGGGACAGCCAATGAAAAGCTACGTGTAGACAGGATAGGCTATGAAACAAAAGCCTGACAAAAGAGGCTGAGGGTTTTGGATGACTCATCACATTCTGAAAGAATGAATGGTCAAATGAATTTCATATTACTAAATCTAAAAGAAAAAAAGTTTTTTATGGATGTGGTACATAATACTATTATGTTATTTGAGTGCTGATAAGGCAGTGATATGGATGCATGAAGAGCAAATGGAATGTTTCCACAAAACGAACACTCAGCGAATATTCCTTTGGTTTGAAGCTGCATCCACAAATTTATATTAAGATGTATTGATGCAAAGTAAGTTTAAGATGAACAACCTAGTTTAGTCAGTTTTATTCATTTCTTCAGAACAATTCTAAATGTGGATTTATTATTTGCTTTTTTCAGCACTTTCTTCTGTCCTAATTTGTTTGTTTCCTAGGTAACTGGTCTGGAAATGGATGCAAGCTATGTGTTGAGAGTGTGTGCAGTCAATGGTGCAGGAGTGGGTATGGCCTCAATGGCCTCTGATCCTGTGACTGCCAAAGCGGTGCCAGGTAACCAATAACTGAAGAAACTAAAAACCTTTAAAAGAAATGTTACTCCAGGCATTCTTTTAGCAGCATAGAGCATAACTATATATAAACAGATCAATGTTCCTGATTTGAAGGTGCTGAAGATGAATTGATAAATATCGTACTGAAATGTGTCAAGGCTGGCAACAGTCTGGAGGTAGCAACAGTTCAAATATATTTTTGGTCTGTGTATTGAAGGAATCCAGGAGGTGTCCTGTGTGGTTGATGAGAAGTCAGGTGACATTGTTCTGTCATTTGAGTCCTGCCAAGTGAATGAGGGCTCTCTCTTCACCTGGAAGAAAGATTATAAAGAAATCACTGATTTCTCCAAAGGGATGGTGATTAAGACTGAGGGCAGCCTGTAAGACTACACACATACATAATTCCAATACCTCACATTTTCTGTCTGTATGCATTCATTATGTAGTTTAATGTTATCTCTGATTCCATTTTATATCTTCCCATGTCTTTGTTCCTCCCCGTCTTTGCATTCTAGCTCCAAGCTGATTTTTAAGAACCCAGATAAAGAAGACTTCGGAACGTTTTCTGTTTCTGTCAGCAATACAGAGGGGGTGTCATCCAGCCATACAATCACAGCTGAAGGTAGGATTCATTTATATCTTTGTTTGTGTGGTTCTTGTGCTTAACCATCTGGACAAGTTCTGGCTTTTAAGAGAATCTACAGATTCAGAAAGTCAGAAAATGATTCTGTAACTTTTAAATCATAAATCAAATATGTGACGTTGACAGTCGCTGTCATCAACACTTGTATGTTCAAGGACTGCAAATAGTTTTTTTTTTACACATTTATGCCTTGATCATGGAAATTTGTGCAGTTGTACAGCAGAATCCAAATGAGCTCATCAAAAGTATAGACTTGAGCAAAAAAGAAGAAAGGGAAATAGTGTATTGAAGAACTAAGATGCTCTGCAGGTTGTAATAGAGATGAAAGCTATGAGACTGCACTTAAAAATGAATGGCATGTAAGCATATAAGCAATGGAAATTTTCATTACACATCTGATGAATAACATCTGAGCACATTGCTCACACTATTTCTCAAAGCTTGGGGCACTGTATGTATTTTATTCATTATGGCTTCATGGAAAAAGACTTTATGTCAGAAAGTTCCTCAGTATTTTTCCCCCTGTTGCACCATGATGCTACGAGGCTATCATGTGTTATTCAGTGTATCTTCCACTGAATTTCACCCATTTGGCCAGAAGATATTTCACCCAAAGATGTTTTTTAACTCATTTAGAAAATGTCCCTTTTTTGTGTGCATCAGGGTCAAAGTCAGACTATGAGCCGCAACTACACATTGCATTGCATTCCCTGAGCACATTTGAGCCCGTCTTAAACAGTTTCAGCGATCTGCTCATTAAACACAGTTACATTAGTGACTTTCCAATCTCCACTTTTGGTACATTAAGTACCCTATCAAAATGCATGGTAAAAATTACAGCAGGGCATTAAGGATTATCTGTATTTTGATTACTTTAATTGCATATAATCAACATGTTTGCAATTTTTTCAGAGTTGGAAAAGATGTTGGCTCGCAGCTATGATATCAGACACCCAAGTAGGTATCACTCACATTTTATTTGTCATTTTTAAGACTGCATGTTTTCTTAACTTCCAGTACTGTACTTACATTTTTCAATCCATATTTCATGCTTTCCTTTTTGCCTTCTCCCAAATGCTTTGAACCTTTCTATATTCTTTTAGGGGCCCATTAAAAAAATGACTAAGATTTAGTTTGATTCAAAATAGGTGTTACCTGCTTTTGCATCACCTGCCTAACTACCTGCTACATCCCTCTGTTTTCTGCCAGTCATCCCACTGAAGTCTGAGTTGGCCTATAAGATTTTGGAGAGAGGCAGAATGAGGTTCTGGCTGCAGGCTGAGGGGATTTCTTCCAATGTCACCTACAAATTCTTTGCAAACAACAAGGAACTGTCTGGAACTGATGTAAGATACACTGTATTTTTCATTATAATGAAAAAATAACAAAAAATAACTCAAGAGAGCTAGAAAATCCCTTTCTAGCCTCGAGGTGAACAAATTGACTGCCTGCCCCACACTGCTTCAGTCAGACAGCGGTTTGCTGGAATGAGAAAAAGCTCAATCTATATTCACAAAGACTATCATTGACTATGTGTGGCCTTTTTTGTTTTCCAGTTTTTCTTCATTCTTTTGACAATTCAACCGTATTTTTCTGCAGCCAAACAAGATGGGTCACGACGTCTCTACAGGTATCATTGAGTTCATCATGGACCATTTCACAGAGGAGAATGAAGGGACATTTACCTGCCAGATCACAGATGGTGGCGGCAAAGCACAGAGCTCACTGGTGCTGATTGGAGATGGTAAGACAGGCCAGGTCTAACTGCTGTTTCAGCATCAGAAACTGCACTACTTTCACTTGAACTAGCAAGAGCGTACAACATAAAGAAACCTCCATAAAGGGCAAAAAATACATTTTATGTCATAATGAATATTCAAATAGGAAATTTGTAGTTATTTGATAGTATGTTGCACTTATTATATGCTTGTCTGCAGTACATTTGTAACATATCTGACAAATTAAGGAAATTTATCAAGGTGTTAATGTAAAGGTGGGTTTGAACTTAATGATTCCACTTTTATAGAGATGACCGTTAGCTAATCAATGAAAAACAGAGAGAAAAATAGCCTTATGCAGTAATTGCATTTGTTTGATCTTTCAAGTCTTCCCTGTTTATTTATATCTGTATGTGCACACAGCTTTCAAAGCAGCACTGGCTGAGGCTGACTACCAAAGGAGAGAATACATCAGAGTCAAAGAGGGTAAGACTTACAAAACATCAACCACTTTTAAGTTTTATATTTAATAGCCCAAGACCAACTCAACAATATGTATCCTGGGAGATACCTAATCAGTGAGTATACATAAAAGTACAAAAACTTTAAGTGAAACACCTTTGCGGTTAGGATCTGGAAATTAGCCGTCCTTGAGGTTTCCATGGTGGCACTAATTTTCTAATAATCTTTCAGTGAGAACATGCTTTTCACACTGCGCCATACAGTTAAGTTCAATCCCATCTCTTTCTGCCCACAGGCCCCCATTTCAGTGAGTTCCTGTCTCTTCAGGTCGGAGAAGACTGCTCTGTAACTTTGGTTTGCAAGGTAAAAAGCCACCCAAAACAAGTAAAGTGACTTGTTGATCCCTGAGCAGCCATTCTATGTAGGGTAGGATGCAACAGTTCTGTGTGATGGTAAATTGTAGAATAATTGTCGAATCACTACGGTACTTACTATCCTGTCAGGGATTTCTCCAAATGTTGTTAGGAAGAAGACCTAAAACCCTTTGGAATTCAGTTTTGTTCCCATGCCATGAGCAGTTTATCTGAAATAAGTGCACTTTGAGAAAGACAGTCAATTAAATGTATGGAGGTTTTGAGTCTTGCAATTACTAAGCAGGCATAAACATGAGCCATTGTGCAGAAAAAAATCATATTTTTGTCTGAGATGCTGTATAAATATGCAAACCTCTTGGAACCACATGGATAAAACATGTTTGCTTGGTTTTGAGCTGAAAAGAGTCTTTAAAGATCATCATTGACAGCAGCTGCTATTATTCTGTCAAGAGCAGTGAAGCTTCCTTTGAAAAAATACGTCCTTGCGCCAAAGTCAACATCTTCTCCTTAAGTCTGCAATGTCAGTAAAGGGGGGCCCTTTATCATAAGCTGTGATGCTGAGGATTCTTGACAAATAAACATATGAAGCAAGGTGGAAGTGAGAAGGATTGAAGTCACATTCAGCCTAAAGACTTCAAGTGATAAATGACTTCCCACACCTGTGTGCTCATACATACAAAGTAAGAAATATATAGAAAACAAGACTATCTGAAAGCCCAAGGTGATCTTTAGTGAAGAGGGTCTTCAGTGAAGAGACCCTTTTTTAAAAGGAAAAATTGAAAGCTTAACTTGCATTTGATAACCCTGAACACTGAACTCCAAAAAACCCTTTACTTGTAAGAGAATGCTAAACTACATGTTCTGATAATGTTACATTTTTCATTACAGGTTGCTAACTTGAAGAAGGAATCGGAGTTCCACTGGTATAAAGACGATGTAGAGGTTATCCCCGATGTCAAGCCCGATCTTGGATCAGGAGTTTGCAAACTGCCAATTAAACAGGTAGAAACAAATTACTACTGTTGCTCTTCCGGTAAAACACTTAAATTTGTCATTTCTTCCTCAATATTCATCATGAAAACAACACCCCATTTTGAGTTCAATAGAAAGTATCCTATTAGATATACACAGCGAAGCCCTTTTTCTTTAATCAATCCAATGTGTTTAAAGGCAGAATTTATGTACTGTTAAATAATTCTAGAAACATGTGTTTTTCTTACTTTTGTAGTGGGGGTCCATTCATTTACTTTTAAAACTTTATGAGATCATATAAATACAGAAACAGTTCCATAAGAGATCTGCACACTTTCACCTAAAACCAAGACATGATAGTAAAAACATTGTTACACTACAATTGAACACATTTAAGTTGTTTTCTTCTTTGTTCTTCTTATAAGGGGGTGCCAAGGTGGAAGTATGTTAGCGCTGCTGTTTGTGAATTTAATAATTAAATAAGTTTGTACTTGTCGCTCCTTTTCTCATCCAGTTTTCTCTGAAGACAACAGGAGTTTATAAAGCCACCATCAGTGATGACAGAGGAAAAGATATGAGCCAACTTGATGTCAGTGGAAAAGGTGAAGATTTCTCCTTGCTTATTATAGTTTAAAATTACTTAGGTTGACAGTAATGGCATGAAAACAGCTCAATGCTCTTTGGACAGTGGAAGGCAGTGGAATACATTGAATATAAAGCATGAACTTGTTTTAGAACTCCGTGGTCCTTCACGTTCCCATATCTGTTCAGAATTTGAAAACAAAAGTAGGTCTTAGTATTATCCCAGATAATTCACTATCCTCTCAGTAATAGGGAATTACAAGTAAAATTAAACTTGTTCTGTCTTTGCTTATTAAAATTGAGAATAATATGTATGGAGATTCTGACCAGGGGTACAAGTGCCCAGCAAATTTAAAAAGGATGCTTCATCAAAATCTAACTTTACTGAGTTTAAATGCCGCCTCAAGGGGGCAGTACAGTCTCTTTTTTCCTCTTTACTTGACCCTATACATCTCTGCCTCTGTTCCAGTCTTTGACGATGCCATAAACAAGCTCAACCAGCTGGCCGGTAGGTATCTGCCCATTATGCATGCACACTTATTTACAGGTGAATACAAACATATGATTAATCTCATGAGGAAATGCATGTAAAAAAGAAAAGAAAAAAAAGAAAACATTATTTGGATCAGCCTTAACGGTGGGATCCAGTTCAAAATATATAAATTGCACATGGCAACACCTCAACTACACTGATAGGAGATTATGTAGATCCATCACCAGGTTGATAGTTCCACTTTGAACTCAGTGTGACACACACACGCACACACATTATCAGCATGTGGCAAAAGTTATCATGCATTTGGCCATCATACCATCATGTTGTGAAATCTCTTTAAAATTCCACTGTGCTGTCTCAGTGACAGTGTGAAGGAGCTTCTTACTACTATTTTAAGAAGCATTCACTTGACAGCTCTGCAGCAACTGTTACAGCAACGGTTGCAGAAGAGAGGAGGGATCATTATTCTGATAATGAGAAACCATGGTGATGTGACCAGGTGGATGGCACATTCGTACATGTGTACTGTGCAGCAAGCAAAGTTTCCCTCAGATAAAGGGTAGTATGAACTAGCCTTTCATCTGTAATAGATTAAAATTAAATCAAATTAAACTTCCCATGATTGGGGTGAGTGCAGTATTCAGACATACTGCTGTCCTAAAAAAACTCTGCTTCCGTTTCATAATTTCCATTTTTAGCTGGACAGAAGGAGCAGATAAAGGAAGGTCATTAAATGGATAGCATAAACAGTTGCGAGTGGAAGCTTGATTTTATTAGATTGCATCTGTATTGCATACAAAGCGGGCATCGCTAATGGATAGTGGATCCGGACGCAGGCTGCAGCTCTCAAATGTTGTTAAGGAGCAGATGGAAAACATGCTTTCTATTTTTATTTCAAATGTGCTCTATCACCTCCTTTAGGAGCGAGTGCACCAGAGCTGGTGATTAAGTGCACGGCAACGGGTATACAGCTACAGTGTCACTTGAAGTATTACACCTCAGAGATGAACATCACTTGGTATCATGGGTAAGATATTTAAAATTTAAGATTATCAACACTGATTACTAATATTGCACATTGGACATAACAGCTATAGCTTCAAGAGCTACAAGCAGTGCTGCTCTTATGGGTAAAACAATGAGGAAGAAAGGATGAAAGAATAGAATAATTTGGTTACCATAGAAATATTATAAAATGGAATTTAAGTAATCCCATAAACATACCAAGTTCATGGTGATTAGTTTTGCCTTACTCAGGAGTTAAACTTGGGGTAAAAGCTATAAAACACATAATAACCTTGTGATGGTTATTGACAAGTGCTTTTATTACCCAGCGTATCCCAATGATTGCTCTGTTTTAAAACAGAAAATCCCACCTCTGTTACTTTCAGAAAAAGCGCTTTCTCACCAATTGCAATCAGGGGCGATGTTGAAAGAGCAGGCTGAATAAAAAGAGGATAGATCGTCAAAAACAGAAAGAACAAAGAGAAACTGAGGAAAAAACGTCTTTCTCTTTATAACATCTACACACTTATTCTGTATAGAGTGTGTAGACCATGTATGAGGCATATAAATCATGTTTCACCATTACCATCGAAGTAGCCTTCACTTTTTGTATTACAAAACATCACACACACAACTATACTTACCTCTCCTTTCCTCTCTACATTTTCAGTGAGGCTAAACTCTCCCACTGTGACAAGACCGTGATTGGAGGAACCCCTTCTATGGCAACAATGGAGGTATAAGCATCTCCTTTAAAGTGTTGGTCAAATGTAAACTTCTACCATGCTATAGCATGCCAGATATAGGCACCATTATGTTGTTCTAACTGTTGCTTCTTCCAGATGTTCAAATTGATCAAAGGGGTTAAATTGAGTCTCCTCTTTATGACATTGAAGCAGATGAATACATCTTTTTGGAGCCAACACAGTCAACATCTGAAAATTGCGGTCAAACACTGACTGATAGGTTTGTTGATCACCCTACTGAGCATTTTATTGGTTGACTTATTCACAGGTGGTTGAGCCGATAGAGAAGGATAAAGGACCGTACTCTATTGTCATTGCCAACTCTGAAAATTCACATAAACGCATCCTGGACCTCAGCGGTGAAGGTTTGTGCATCCACCACTTATAGGAATTATTTAGTTTCCTAATTGATAATTCAGTTAAGAGGTAAACTCTTACCAGTATTCTCACTATTCACAATATTCTCAGTTCTCAACAAATAAAGGTTAAAAATCCTCTATTTAATGTAAAATTTTGTGATATATTTTTTCAGGGACAGCATATTGTAAAGTGAGAAAACTCCAGTGTTGTAATAAGTGGCAGTGACTTTTTTATTTTTGTCCTTTACAGTTTATGAGAAAGCGTTTGCTGAGTTCCAGAAACTCAAGTAAGACCACGTTCTTTACATTTGTCCTTACTATTTTTATTTGCATTTTTACATGACCACATGTCACACAAAGTGATGATTTCCCTGGTTAAAGTAATTCCCTTTCGCATCTATTTGCGCTGACTAATTCTGATTAGACTATGTTATGCTTATTTGCTTACTTTTCATCTATTAAAATGCAAAAACCTGCAGAGGAATTCAGGCAGATTAAGCTAAATTCACACAACATGGCTTGACTTCAGTATGCGACAGCCTTCCTGTTAATGATTAAAAAATATTACTGCACTGGTTACTTTGAATCATTCCACTATCCCAGTGGAGGAATGAGAATGTCAGCCTGTCTTGCCTCAGCTGAATATTGCAGATGCTCAGCATGCCCACCTCAAAACAGTCATCAACTGTAATAACTATTTTATAAGTTTGTGTGGGCCATAATGACCACATTCAAGGTGTCCCAGTCTTACATCAGACTGACTAAATGGTGTAAAGACTGTGGGTATTGTTAATCAGGATCTGGTTATTTAACTTCAGGTCCAATCATAAGAGCTCCGAGCTGTCACATATTTCAACACTACAAGCTGTTAGATGGATATTAACATGTTTTAAATTGACTTGAGTTTCAAAGGTTTGTAGAATGTGATGACTGGCAAATCAATTCAATTCAAAAGCAGAATGTCAAAAAATTTAGAGGATTGTATAATTGATAGGAATGGAGAAATAAAACTGTTGAAATATTAGGTTTAAACAATGTCCCTCAGTCTTATTTTCTGTATATCTATTGCATATGAAACTGTGAACTGTGACAACTAAGAATACCAAAGCACATAAACGCTCAGTGTAGCTTGTGTGGCTAAACTGTATACAGCCGGGTCATTTATAACACCTGAATGACATTAGAAGAAATTTGCTGTCTGGCTGAGAAGCTCAGTATGATACAATGTTAATTAATATTGGAGATTAGAGATAGTGTCAGCTAGGTGGCAAGAGTACTCTATGCAGGGATTTGATAAAATCCATGAAAAAAAAAGGAAAAGCGAAATTGGAAAAAAAAGTGAAACTACAAACACTTCCCTACATGCAGAGTTGAAAGGATCGAAATCCCTTTTCTAATTAACAATCACAGAGCGACATTATGTCACAAGATTTTACATTTACATTGGAGTATGTTTTGATGTTTGAGCATCAAAATGTCAAGGGGAGGTAAGATTTCCCTCAGCCATCTGGTCTTGCAGCTGACCTCTGGTCCTCACATGCTGGTCTGACAGAACTCTCAAGCAAAATCATCTTTTTCAAGAGAAAAAATGGATTTAATACTTCAAAGCCTTTAAATGTTTGTAATTCCAGCTTTAAAAGAGTTTATTGTCAATTTAGATATACTGGTCTTCTATAAAAAATGATTGAAATAGACTATGTGTTTCAGGGCTGAAGCATATGCTGAGAAGAGTAAGTTTCAGTCTTCCATACCTACTGAATCTTCTTTATATAATTATAACATATAAAGACTATAAATGAGTAACAATATTACCAATGGTTGTTTCAGACCGTGGAAAGGTGGTTGGAGGACTGCCTGATGTAGTCACCATTATGGAAAAGAAGGTAGATGTCCAGGTGTCTTGATGTCTTTGTCAAACTACTTCTAAACTACTTCTAATTAAGCCCCATATGCTCACAGACCCTGAGTTTAACATGCACAGTGTGTGGAGAACCCAAACCTCAAGTGTCATGGCTGAAGAATGGAACAGAAGTTGAACCTGATGATCAGGTAATTTATCTGTCATTTATCTGTCGGTATGAAATTCTTTTGCCCAGTCATCTGTCTCAGAAAATGAGTCTTGTAATTTTGTTTAATCCATTGCTGTCAAATTCTACTGTTGTATTTGATTCTGACCAATTTTACCCATTCATTTGTCACGATTATTTACAGGTGCATATTCTTAAACGTATAAAACAAAAACAAAAGCAACAGGAAGTGTCTTTAAAGTTAATCAGGATTTGAGGTTACCGGTACGTCTGAGGCATAGGTTCAAACTCCTCTTTGGACACACTGTACTCAAGATGGGTGAATCTTAGCAATATTTGAAAAGTTTTGATGACAGAAGCAAGAAATGCCACATCAAACTAAAGCGTAAACCACTTCATCACAATATTTTAAATTCCTATTATAAAAGTTGTATGATACAATAATTGCGTGTTTTAATTAATCCTGATGCAATTCATATGACACACTGTTCCCTGTTGGCAATGAAGCGTGTGGGTGGAGGTCCCTTTAGAATCAAAGCTCTCCATGTGTTTACTAATGATGTGGCTAGGATCAAACGCAGCAAAACACATCCGTCTGTTTTGGTACATTTTAGGTGAGGTCAGGATTATGAGTATCCTCATGGATCAGAAAAACTAAGAAATATATCTCTCATAACTCTTATATCTACTTGCCAGCCAGTGCAAGTCTATACCGTCTGTCCCTCATCAACAGAGCCTCTTTCAACAGCATCCTGCGGCTCCTATCAGCTTTGAAGATTTAAGTTTGAGAAACCCTCGTCCAGGAGGAATTTCTGTTCAAGTTGGCCCTGTTCTTTATTCATTTGCTCACCTGCTAATAATCTATCTATAACAGGAACCACAGTCCTTGGTAATGTGTTTTTCAAACCTCAGGGGTACCTCTTTTCCACCTTGTTAACGCAGAAACTACAGAGGATATGAAGATAACAGAAAAACAAACAGAAATATACAAAGATCCAGAGATTAGTTCACGGAAATGTGGAGTTGAAATATGCTGCAGAAATAGAAACAGACATGGTTAGATAGAGGTGAAGTGGGGGAAATGTACAAAAAAAAAGTGAATTATTTTTTTGTACATATAAGACATTTAGCTACACTGCATATTTTAGCCACCAACTCAGCTGGGATTAATAGATGTTGTTTTTCTTCCTTCTTTCAGTCTAACAGAAGGGAAGAGACACCCAAAAGTTAACCACCTTTACTTTTAAACTAATAAATTATTTAAATTGTCAAAGGTCACATTAATATTCTGATTAGAAAATGGCCATACTTTGAGATTATTATCATTATTATTACCATTATTATTGTTGTGATGGTGTCAAGTAGAGCTTTTAATGCCTCACAATTGAAAGCAAGTGTGTCTTTTAAAGGGGATGTAATTAGCCTGCTTAAAGTGCCACTTAGTTAAAATTCATTAATGCATAGACCTTTGAAATGAGTGGGCAAGTATGAGTCAGGTAAACTAGAATACTGCACTTGTCTATAATAGCCAGAATGCACTGTAGTTTAGGTACCCAACAAATTCAGCTGGATGTTTACTGTGAAGGCCAAAAGATGGGTAGTTGTCTTTGGCGGAATTACGGCAATGTGAATGGAGAAGGGAGCACTATATCATTCCAACAAACAAGGTTTAGTAGAGCTGAAATCACTAAACATCTTTCATCCTTTGTCTATCCAACAGTAATGCAGGTTTTACCTAGAGAGGCCAGTAATCAAAGACCATTTGATTAGACTGAATGCATATTGAAAAAAAAAATCAATATCTAAATAAATGGTACATAAGAGACTTTTCAATTTTTTAGTGATGCTTAAATTGTTTTTGTTGCAATCTCACTATTTAATCTTTGACTTATTTTTTTCAGTATGTGGTCTCCTTAGACCAGGGCAAGTTTGCCAGTCTTACTATCAAAGGTGTTACCATGGAGGATTCCGGCAGATATACAATGATTGTCCAGAACAAATACGGAGGCGAGTCTGTGGATATAGTGGTAAGTGTCACTGCCGTGTGCCCTAATGACTGGATTTACTCAGAGCCATGAAATGTTTCTGACCATCTTTGCCTGAAATCTTATCTTTTCATTCCCTTGCTGTCAGATATTTTTGAGTGATCACAGAAGCCTGCAGCTCAGTTTATATTTGACGATTTTAACTTTAGGCACAATAACGTGTTAACATTAAAAATAGCATAATACCACAAACAGGAATATTCTTCACTGGAGCCTAAACATGATTTCTTTCCAGAATGTTTACTTGAAAGACCTAGATATTTATAACATATCTGTTGCTTGTAACATGAAAACAATGCATGGGTCTGAAATATTCAAAACTGATACATAAATACATACATATGTGCAAAGCTGCATACATACTTGCTAACTGACTGCCTAACTTGTTTTGCTATCTCTGTCCCTTGAGAAATTTTACATGGATTTGATAAACTTGATCCATAAACACTCAAATATTAAAACACTTGCATGAAGAGGAATGATTTAAAACAATATCAATACTTCATTTAAAATGAAGCAGTTAAAATGTACATAGATTAATTTGTTAAAACACAAGTTAAAAGAAGAACTCAATTAATAAGCAATAGAAATAAAATACAGAAGCATCATGAATAAATCAATAAACAGATAGCTTCAATCAATTTGTGGAGTCACCCTGCAGCACAGCCTCATTCATTTCCATCTGCTGTTTAAAACATCAACTGACACAGGTGCAAAGGAAGTCAAAAGCAAGTTCACATGACTGACCTCTGTATCACATACCTAATGGCAACAAGTCACAATCAGTACAGAATTTGAGATCACATTCGGCTCTTATTTCATGTGTGGATACACAGTGATTCTTGTCCTTTCTCTTCTCTCTCCAGGTCAGTGTGTACCGCCACGGGGAGAAAATCCCTGAGGCTAAACCTGCTCTGACCCCTAAAACACTCATCCCTCCGAAACTCCCCATTGAGATCCCTCAACCTAAGACCCAGCCTAGTAGCCCTACTCCTAGCCCTGCCCCCTCTGCAACCAGCCCCACACCTCCAAAAGCCGCACCAGGGAGAGGGGTGAAGAGTCCCACTCCCTCTCGGAGGAAGTAAAGAGTGTGACAGCCATAAATGAGGATGAAACATAGTCACAAATGCGCAAACATACCACACATAGACATTTTAATTGGTGTTCTCTGTCTGGTATGACAAATGCATTTGGTATTAAATTATATAATCAAGAAAACCCTTGACGAGTATAAGATTTTCTGTATCTGGAACTGAGAGAAAAACATTTAGTTTCTTTTATACATCCTCATATGTGGAAAACAATTAGCATGAGAACAAAGTAGACTATCAAACTAATTATTAGCTTTACATGAAAGAATTGGAAGATAAATTAAACTTGAATAAGGCTAACAATGCAGCATAGCTTATTGGAAGGAGAGTGAATTATGTTCACCATGGATACATGCAGTCTCATGGTCAAGTAACTCCTGGTCAAAACATGCATTGTAATTGAGTGTGCATTAGATGTATTGTATAGTGCGCGTATATTGTTGGCCACCATCACAGAAACAACTGAGAGATTCTTAAGTCCATCAAAGCCATACACACGATCCCAAGGCAACATCAACCTTGTCACAAGGCTTAGCTTGGCATCGCAGATATTAACACATTTACATGTTCTAGATAAGCTTCCTCCTGTAACGTCGATGTGAAACACTGGCCTAGTATTGCAGATCCTGTTCAAGCCCTACATCCAACATGCTTTATCGTTTTTGAAAAACACCTATCATAAAAAAGAACATTAAAACGGGTACGGAGAGGACGGTGCAAAGCAGCCAACGCGATCCCACCTCTTCAGTGCTGTCGACTGACGGATGCATAAATAAAACACTGTCGTCCTTAACATCACCATGGTGAGATTCTGAACATGCTGAAGATCAGATGGCAGTGAATCACCACGAGGTAATCAGAGCTGTGCAGTTGGACTGACACAGCAGCCACTAAAAGCTGTTGCAGTCAAGTTTGGAATCAATTCTAGTTTAGCATGATATTTTTAGCAAACCCATGTGCATCCTATCTTACAACCAAATATGACTTATGTAGCATCGCCCTGATCTTTATCCAAACACAGACAGTGACAGGCAATAAGTTGGCAGATTTAGGGAGTGGTGCCTGAGTGCAGGAGGTGGAGATGGCAGAGCTGATGAGAAGATGGTTGATCAGATTTGTGGTTCATTAAAGCTGATGAGAAAAAGCAAGCGGAGGGGAGTGAGGGAGTAGGTGGAGGGTAAAATCATTGTTTCTGTGCTTGCTGTTGCAAATAAAAGAAAAAGATTACCCATTGTGGAGCGTTTTTATTCATTGTGTCGAGGTAAAGAGAGCAAGAACAAGAGGCTGAACGAAAGTGAGACTGTGAGCTTTGTGGGGTATCTGCCTCTTCTGTTGATGTGTTTCTGATGTTGTCTACTCTGACAGTACCAGACATGCCTTGGCATAGTTGTTAACAACTCGAGAATGAGCTGCGTGAATGAAAAAGGGGAGAACAGTTGTAAATGTGTTGGTGTTTGTGTGGAATTTCTTTTTGTTCCTGTTTTTCTTTGACAAGAAGACAAATTTTGACATGTCATAAGTTATGTGTGTATAGGTGTGAATAGAGGGGAAATGAGTGAGAGCTGAACGTGGATAATTCAGCACAGCGTGGCAATAAAAGACTCTGATGTGGGAAAGTGAAGGACAGGAGGAGTGAGAGTTAATGAGAATGGGACAGAAAGACAAAGATCTGAATCGGTCTAACGTTTCACTGATCATCTTCAGTTAGATCATTTCCCTGACTTTCTAATTAATTCTCACATTTTTAATCAACATCATTACTGGGAATGCACGTTTCCACGGCAACCAACTTTTGAAATAAAATCGGAAAATTACTGTGAAACACACAGTCTGTTCATTTACAGACACACTGAGATATACTTGCATACAGTCACATGATGGGATGTAAGCATTAACACACATTCAGGATGTACACAGAATCAGACGCACACACACACACACTGTAGATGACTGCTATCTAAATGGAATAGCTCGCCAATACTGATAGCATGAAATTGTGTTTCCAAATATAACACCGTGTCATTGGAGTGTATGAGAGTGTTTTCCCGAGTGTATGTGTGTATGTTGAGAACCCAGACGATTTAACATATGCTCCTCCACAGTCCTCCACGGGGGGGCACTATGTGAACACACTTGAACATTCAGACAATAACTCATTTTTAGGCACATTCACACACTCTCTGGCATTCTCTCTTTCCCTTTCTATCTCTCTCTCTCTCTCTCTCTCACTCTCACTCTCTCTCTCTCTCTCTCTCTCTCTCTCGTTCTCTCTCTCTCTCTCTCACACACACACACACACATAGACAGGCCTGTCCTAATTAAAGCAGTACTGTTCACACAATGAGATAAACTAGGAGCAGAGACATTTTGTGGGTTTACACACAGAC